AGAGAGGTGGTGGTAGCAATAATGCTGCTCGGCCCATCGGAATTCCTTCTTTTTGTAAGGCGCGTTGATAGCTTCGACCTCTTCTTGCCTCCGCAGGTGAACTTCGGTGACGTGTTCATCCCTTCAAAGCTGCAGGCTCCCAAGCCACGCGTCCTCTCCGAGTTCAAGCGGCTGGCGCACGGCCTCCGCTCCGGCAACATCACCATCCTGGACGCGCGCACCATCTACATCCCCAACCTGCACTACGACGGCGCGGCTCCCGACGCCTACTTCTGGGTTGGCAACGGGTCCGAGCCAGGGCCCTGGGGCATCAAGGTGCCCAACGAGGTCGGGAAGTAAGTAGACGTTTCTAGCTCTGAAGTTACTCTCTTTTGTTTTATCCGTTAGTTAAGTTTCCATCAGCGCTGGGACTGCTGGATGCGAGGGGTCCCCCACTCGCCAACTTGTTGTACACTTGCCCGCTCCCAACTCGCGTTCAACTCGCGATAACTCGCAAAAACCGGCAAAAACTCGCGAAAACTAGCGTCAAAATCTCGAAAAATTGATCCCAACTCGCGCCCTACACGCGTCAACTCGGCAACTCGTTGTACCGGGTGATTCAGAGCACGCGCCGCCGTGTTGCGGGTTTGTCTATCCTCGACTCGGCGGGCGCACGGGTGAGAGGTGAGAGGAGAGGGGTCACCTCCTCACCTCTCACCCGTGCGCCCGCCGAGTCGAGGATAGGCAAACCCGCAACACGGCGGCGCGTGCTCTGAATCACCCGGTACACCTATTTTAGAAGTGGAGGACCCCTCGGCTGGATAAATTGCAATTATCCTTCCCGTAGTTGGATCAAAAGGAAATAACTGCAGTTAAGTTTGTAACGTACCACAATATCACGCGATTAAATGTTATTTATTTTCATTTCTGCGTGAACGGAAACGCGGGAATCAGGATAAAAATTGCGCGTGACAATAATTAGACACAATTAAATTTTTCAATTTTAATACCATGTTGTGGCGTCGCTGTGCAATTTTGCACAAAACCTACGCATTCTTTGCAGACTGCAAAGTATTCCTTTGTGATTCCAAATAAATACTTTTGAGTGTACAACTCAAGTCCTTCGGAGTAGACCATTTCTGTTAAGACAGGTTAAGCCGGGTTAAGCTCTACAAAGGTGATTGCGGTAGAAGTAAAAATAAGACAAAATCCCATTTCCGATTCATAGGCCCCAAACATAGCAGTGTGGTCTTAACTTGACCACCGCCATTTGTTTGGGGGCTACGAATCGGAAATCTGGGTCCGGTTTGGTTACCCTTTTCGTCTTCACTCGCCTTTTACGAGGGTGAACTGAAATGGCCTGTTGCAGCGCGTTGCCTATCCTACCACCCTGTTCGTTTGAAACCACGAGGATTATAAACTATATTTCCATGACACTTCCCCTGCCGCTCCCACTGCTCCCCCTCTGCCTGCTTCCCATTCGGCGCGTGCGCCTCTGGAGCAGCCAGTTCCATTTCACCAACGCGGCCGTGAAGTTGGCCGTTTTCCTTCTGTGCTTGGCTGGCTGTACAATGCTGTAAGAAATACCAAAAGTGCCCGTGAATATGAATTGACGAAAACTGTCTCGTGGGGATGAAGGAATAAAAAGTTAGACGCCCAACGCCCAGGCCTGGCTCTCTTTTCTCACTCTTTGGACGGTAGCCAGCCGATTCAGATTTCTGTGAATGGTAAAATTCTACATTACAAATAGTTGAGCATAGCGATGTTGTTAGCCTCTAGTAGTCTTCAGTGACATGACTTATCTCTTAATATATAGAATATACGGATATGTTCACTCAAAATGTTCACTCAGAGTTCATAATGTGGCATCCCAGTCTAGACGTGGCCGAGCTGCTCGACGAGGCAGGCCCCGTCAGATCTCTTCATGTCAATATAATCCGTGATGATCGGAGGGGATGTATCTCTTCCCTCCACACCCCTCCGCCCTCCCCGCCACAGCCTCCCCCACTACCTTTCTCTCTCCATCTCTTCTCCGTATACCTCTCTCTCTTTCCCTCCCACCTCCCCCCCTCCCTCTCTCTTTCTCTTTCCCTCTCCCTCCCCTTCCGCTTCAGGACGCCGCTCTTGTTCCGGATTTATGCAGCGCTGCGATTGCGCGTGTCGGGATTGTAATGAAGCCTCATCCCCTGCAGTCCAAACAGAGTAGAGCCTTGTCGAGCAAAGCTGGACCGGAGGAGCGGGGAGCGCAATGTGTGGAGCGGGACCTTCCCAATTTAAATTTTGTTTCTTTTCCCTCTTGGGAACAGCACAACACAACAAAAAGTTCTCACTTGGAGGAAAGTGATCAAGTTAAAAGTGTGGCTAGATTCGAGTCGGAATTGAGTTTTACTAGGCACACATATCGTCAACGTGCTGCTGAAATTATATTAATAAATCGTTTGTGTTTAGGCTCGACCCACTAAAGGGCTACCAGGGTCAAGACATCGAGATCCAACTGCCGGAGAACATCACAGTTTATGACATCGAATGGCTCGCCATGTGGTGCGTCACCTACCACCACAATTTTGGCCATGTTATGATCCCCAAGGAGCTTGACGTGCCCCCGGCTCTGGGGCAGACCAAGATCACGGTGAGTCGTCTGCGCCCATGGCACCCTCCTCAGAATGTTTTTATTTCCTTTTAGGTTATTGTTGTACTGATATAAGATAAAGAGTTCATTCGTAATTTTTCATAAACGTGTAAAACCTCCTAACGGTAGGATAACGTTAGTCACTTATGAGTCGTCTTTGCTAATTTCTTTTGTTACGATGGATTTACAGGGAGGTCGTAGACGAGGAAGCAACAAGAAAAAGGGCTGACGGAACGTTCAAACTAAGCTTTGTTATCTTTAAAAAATCAATTAACGCTTATTTGTCTATTGTATTGTGACGCGTATTATCCACACTGAAGTATTTCTCAAGTGTATATTTATTGTGCTCTACTTTACTGGTGATAGGAAAAAGACTGACATGAGAAAATACAGATAATAAATCTAGCCTTAGCTGCTTTGTTATCCACCCTCTAGCACGCTAAGACCATCGTGATGGTCTTTCCCCGTGGAAAAACAAAGGTGCTATATGACACTTTTTAAAGGTGCTATTGCAGTAATATGTCTTGGTAAATGAACTAAAATTGCCGAAAATAACACCTTTGGAGGCCAGTTTAGTGCCTTGCTAGTAAGCACTATTTCACTAACGCCTTTTAAAAGACATTTGATAGCATCCTTATTTTTCCTGTATATCGGTTGTTACTTTTTGGTGGGTGAAGTTAAAGATCGCAGGCCTAATCAGGCCACCTTTAAGTGTTACACTCGATAAGGTTACACCAAACATAGGCCGCGCATATTTCAGACTGAAAGTGTAACACGAAGCTTGGGTGGGTAACAATCGAACCATTCGCCACAGCTGATAATGCAATATTTCTTCTGAAACTTTCGCTTTTATTGGCAATTCGGGAAAGTCAAAACTGTTATTGATTAAAATATGTCTTTGATGCCTTTTTTCTCTAACTTTCCATTTATAAAATACACTGAATACAGAATTCTGAAACTGCCATGTACTTTGTACTGTTCAACTCCATGATGTACGCTTTCAATCATTGGACTGGAAATGTGACTACTAAAAGGGGTAATTCAGCAGTAAATTTGAACACCTCTAAGTGTCCAAAGCTGCATGGTCAACCCTGAAGTCGCGCACTTCTACGTGTTCAACGAGTTTACTGTAAAACGCTTTTTAGTATTTAAACACACAGTCAAAAACTTAAAAGTGTGCAACGTATCTTTGAGCAGTTGCGTGTGCAACTCAGTTGCACACTATTTTTATCAGTCTACTGTAGTCTTTTTTCTCTGCAGAGTAGGCGAGTGAAATCCTTTTGGTGCTGTACGTAACAAAATTTTCCTTTGATTTTCTTGCAGCCAGCAGTTGCAGGAGACAGTTATATTCGCATGCCTTTTTCCTTTTGATCTAGGCGTTCTCACTGCCCCTAGAACACATCCGCGGCCGTGACTCTTGCACTTCCTGTCTTCTATATGCAATACGTATAAGAGTAGTGTGTTTCAGAATTTGATTGGAGGAGATAAATAAGGTGTATGACAGAAGTAGTTTTTGCATGCCCCCGACATAAAGTGTTACGTCCTAACGGCCGCTATTGTGATTTAGCCTATGCTACACAGTATTGTCAGGTTACCTCCGCCTCTAGGTTGCTACCCCCTTGCCCTACTCTGTCCTATGATCTTTAGAGCTAAAGGTATATTTTTGGAGATAACGAAGCTTGTTTTTACCATTCATGCTGCTCTGGACGCACCGCAGCCCGAGTGGTGGTACAATCCAGTAAGTACTCTGGGCCAGTGTCGGGTATCTAGTGCAAAAGTCAGAAAATTGGTCTATCAACGATCGTCCTAAAATTGACATTGGTTCGACGTGATTTTTACCCTAAGTCGACGTCGATTAGAAGCGACTGTGTCCATTCAACCGACAAATTTTAGAGTCGTACCATCGTACCGAATTTATCTTTTCCAGTCATGTGACAACATATTCATTTCACAAGCTTTGACGAATGAGCTGTCACGTGACGAAAAAATCATCTCACCCCTTGTGACGAACCATTCATTAGTAAAATTAAGAAGTGACTTTTTCGTAAAGTGACGACTTAAAGTTTTACAGTGCAAAACCCAAGGTGTCCCGCAAAAGTGCGACTTAAGTCACACAGAAACCTTGGTCGTGCGACTTCAGTCGCACAGATGCTGGACACACCAGATAGTGTAGTTAGTACCCCCGTACCCCCGTTCTCCGAAGCACTACGCTGGCTCAAACTCTATTTTTGCTCTGGACTATTACAAATTGTCGTACTGAGTACAGAGAAATTTTCCATGGAAGAAGTCGTATAATTACAATTCAAGATTGTAAATGTACGTTTTAATGGGCCCATTCGATAGCTTTTTCACAGCAAAAGGGTGTGCTCAAAGAATAAATTAAGAGACCTTTACTGATGGCCACTTTATGTCGTGCAGACGCAGGCGCCGGCTGGCGCGGGGGAGGACGCAGAGCCGTACAGCAACTGCAGAGAGATGCTGGACGAGCGGGTGCAGGTGCAGTGGAGCCTCAAGGAGGACGTCGTGGAGATCCAGGTGTCGGCGCGCATCCGCGAGGACCAGTACGTGGCCTTCGGGCTGAGCGGCGAGCAGGGCAGGTGAGCATGGTCGGCACGACTCGGACGCTTCCCCATCCTTCCCCGCACACCACCGCACCTCACACAGCCCTGTTGATGATGATTTGACTGTAAAGTGCTCATGTCGTTTACCTCTCAGTAAAGCCTCACTCAGTAAGTACTGCTGCTTCTGTAGCGCGCGCCGCGCCTGTAAAGCTTGCTGTAGGCGGCCTGGCCGATGACGCATGGACGTTATTGACTCTGTCGCGTTGTGAGTCTTGCGTGCGCCAGGCGCGGCAGTAATAGCCACAATAAAAAATTAAACCATGGAAATGGGAATGCAAACTAGTAAAGAAATTGCAAAGGAATAATGGTTGGCGCCATTCCGCTTCTGGTGCCTTTCCGAGCGCACCGTGGCGCGCGTTCGGCACCACGCCACGCCACGCCTGGGGGTGGGATGCTGCGGGGGCATTGTAGCAGAAAGCGCTGGCCGAGCAGATTGAGCGCCATTGTCGCACGTCGCGCAGCCGCATGGGGCCGTCGCGAGGGCCGCTTCCTGCCTGCAGCGTGCAGCGCCGTGCCTGCTCCTGCTGCATGTAGGCTTGCCGGGCGTTCTCTGACGAGAGGGCTGCGCGTAGCGTACTCTAATCGGGTTCCAATGGCTGCAGCCGCGCGCTTCCCTCGCCACAACAGAAGTTCTCGTTCCATAATACAACGATGGACTTGAATTTTTGTACTCTTAAACTGTGCTGTAAATGTGCTTGACTTATTGACTGCGGTGCAGTCGAACGCAGAATAATTTCCTTGAATTGTAGTTGGGATCAGATTAAGCTCCAAAATGTATTCGAATTCGAGACAGTAATGACCAAATTGTACTTAATTCAAGCGCGTTATTGGACTGGAAAAAGTACACGCTTTTCTAGGTGTTGCATAGTTTGTTTTCGGGTCTAGTCATAGAAAGTAGTTTTGATATATGCGCCAAATATCATCGCCAAAACGCACAGTACAAAGTGCGCTTCGATACACAGTTCACGATAGAATTCGTAATCTCATTATCCTTGTGCAAACCCAATAGTACTACAGCTTTGACGACATGCAACACACACGTACATAATTCACTTGGTCCCCTTGATGTGACTCGCGTTGCAACAGCATGCTGCAACAAGCAAGCTTCACCCTTTTTAAGCGAGTGTCTGCATAGGGCCTCCATGGTAGGCGGGGACGTGGTGGTGGCGTACTACGACGCCAAGACGGCCACCTTCCATGCGGACGACTACTACATGTCAGCCACAGCTCAGGTAAGCTTACAGCATATCCGAACTCTTCTGCCTTTTTTTTTTGTAACGGAAGTCCACAACAAAACTTTAATCTGTCTTTAGTGCGACGGACGTAACGGCGTGTGCCCGGATCAGCGTATCGGTGGAGGCAACGACGTGACGCTCAAGTACGCGGACCGGCGCAACGGGGTGACGACGGTGCGGTACACGAGGCCGCTGATCACCAACGACGCCATCAAAGACCGGAACATCCCCACAAACACCGACGTGAACGTCATCGCCGCCATCGGGCCGCTCAACTCGCGGAATGAGGCCAACAGCCACGGCGCCTCGGACAAGACCACTGGTGGGTGCCGCTGAGAGAGTCTGGACCTAGGGAGAGTTCCGATATTACGTGACTTTTGGGGGGTGGGGTAAAAGTATTATGGGGTCCCAAATGGATCACGACCATCATTGGACCCCATAGGACCCCGTCATATTTGTACCCCGGCGTACAAATATCATGAGTTATAGACTCCATTGATGGTCCTGATCATTTTGGAACTCTATGATATTTCTACTCCCCGCCCCCTCTCTCAAAAAGGCACATAGTATTTGAACAACCCCTTAGGAGGCACCTTCCTTGGGGCACCATTTGATTTACCCTTGTCATGCCGCAGACGACATCCGCATCAACTTCTCGCGGCGCAACGACCACCAGTGCACCAACTCGCTGTACAACACGCACGACGAGCAGGAGCTGACGCCCTGGCCCGTGCAGCAGATCCACAACGAGAACACGCTGACGGCGCGCATCGGGCCGGCGGGCGGCAAGCGCGGCTACACGCCCATCACGGGCCACCCGTCCTGGGGCATCGCCTGGTGGATCAACGACAAGCTCATCCCGGAGATCACCGTGGAGCGCGGCCAGACGTACACGTTTGTCGTCGAAGGAGGTGAGCGTACTGCCAGGGAAACACTGGAAACGCAAGTGTGTGAATGTCGCACACTTGCAGGTGTGTGAATATCCATTCGTACACTTGCGGGGATAAACGTGTGAATTTTTCCTACAAAATTCACACGTTTACCCCCGTAAGTGTACGAATAGATATTTACACACCTGCAAGTGTGCGACACACACACTTGCGTTTCCAGTGAAGAGTCGCCACCGCGACCCAGGGATGTGTAACATGTTTAACATTGTCTGTCGGTTTGCCTCTCCCCGCCGCCGAGCCCCCAGCATTCCGCTGACCCTGTCCTCCCTCTTTCCAGGCAATGACCGCACTAACCCCGCACGCTTCCATCCGTTCTACATCACGGACAGCCCGGAGGGTGGATATGGGCAGCGCCAGGAGGGCGAGCAGAAGCACCAGAAGGTGTTCGCCGGGATGGCGACCGACCGCGATGGCTACCCCTATCCGACGGCGGGTGAGTCCGTAAATGAAGTCCGCGTCGATACTCTAGAGTGTGCGCCGTGTTGGGGGTATCGTCGTTCGTCTGGACCGAGGCGTGGGGTAATGACGCTCTGGCTGTTGCAGCCGGGCGCTACTGTGAGTGGGTGCACCTGACGGTGGACCGATACGCCGATTTCGAGAACTTCGCGGACTACAAGAAGACGTTGACTCTGCAGTGTGACCAGGGAGAGCCAGCCATCCTGAACTGGACGGTGGCGATGGACACTCCCAACGAGGTGTACTATCAGGTAAGGACGCGCTAGTCTCATCGAAGGCATTGATTTAGTGCACAATGTACGTTTTGCTGGAAAAAGAAAGTGGTATGCTATTACTCACTCTACACCGCGCGTATATCCGAGCTTGTGGGTATACGTACTGCCTCACTGCCTCTCACCATGGTGCATCATGATGTGCATCCCGAAAGACCAGGCAACCCACTGCTCGTACTCCTGCATGCTGTACTGGGCTGGGTGTATTCGGGTATGGAGTGTTGTGGGTTAGCGTGTTTGTCTACCCTTTCAAACCAGGTACAGGCCGTGATGTCTCATTCAGAGAGAGAGAGAGAGTATAGACAAACCCGGCAAAACCGCAAGTATGTGCACTAATACAATACACCCGGTACACAGAATGACACATTGGTTTACCCGTCTGGTGAGGGTGTGTAGCGCTGTAGCAGTACTTACCCGAACAATGTACCCACTTTTAAAAAAATTGACAATTACACAACGCGATTTTTTATTTATTTTAAGGGCATGCGTTGTAATTTAATTAATACTAGGGTTGCGACGGCCGGTAATGTTACCGGTAACGTTACCGGAAAAATTGGTAATTTACGGTAATTTACCAAAAGCTTGGTAACGTTGAAAAAAAACGGTAATAATAACCCTACAAAATGAGTTAAAAACTCACTTTTCAGAAGCAAAAGTCACATTTGGAATAGTAAATATGACATAATATCACCTTTAAAGTCACTTTTTAGAGACCAGATAGCAAATTTGTCATTATTCTGAAGTTTAAAAGGCATAGCTTTAGATAACGATTTTTATATGTGTACGTCTGGTAACTCTATATACAACTGATGTTGATGAGAACAAGATGAACAAGCAGGCCCGCCCTTCCGCCAAACGAAGTTGCCAGCTTCGCTTCGCTGCGCCGGCAACTTCGTTCGGCAGGGGCCGGGCCTGCTTGGCCTGCCGGCGGCGATGGTCGGGCCTGCGGCCCGACCATTTCTGTCACGCGATTTGCTGTAGAACATAATCAAATGATGTAACGGGCCTTCGGCCCGCAAAGCCCGTTGTCCTTAAAATTTGCCCCGTAGACACGAGAAAGGGATGTAACGGTGAAACACCGCGACTACAACCCACCCTTCTGCTTAGAAAACGATTTTTCGGGTTGGGGGGAGGGAGTCTCTTACCTCTTTTGCGGTTTTGGGCCTTCTTTTACATTTAATTGTTCACTACAGCAATTTTTAACTTATTTTCGTCAAACAAGACCCTCTAGCGCCTAAACGGTTAGAGATAGAGCCAAACGGACGAAATTTTCGCCCACAGGGCTCTATTTTAGCAAGTTACCCCTAAGGAGACCATCTTATATTTTCTAAAATTAATATGTTTATTTTTGGGCCACTTTCGTGATAGAAACTCCCTCTAGCGCCTAAACGGTGAGAGATAGAGCAAAACAGACGACATTTTCGCCCAACGGGCTCTACTTTGACGAGTTACCCCTTAGGAGCTCATAAAAAAAATATTTTTTTCTGACTTTTTTGACCCACCTTATTTTCTTTGATACCCCCTTTTAGCCCTTTTGGGGTGGTTGCCAGGATTTGCCGTAGGCGTTTCGTTCTCTAGGAGTGGACCTTAAGATACCCTGAAAATTTCAAGTCTCTAGCACATCTCCTTCTAGTGGAACAGACAGACAGACAGACAGACAGACACACACGAGGTCGTTTGCATAAGCCCGCTGGATAGCTTTTTCAAAGCAGAAGGGCGGGCTAAAAACACAAATATTCCAACAAGTATAGCTAAGACCGGCTATTCCGTCACTTTTTAGGCAGTACACACGAATTTCAATCGCCAAGAAATAGTATATTGCCAATTTTTCTGCTTCAAATTGAAATTTTCAAATTTTTCCAAAATTTCCGGTAAATTACGATTTTTACCGTAATTTACGGTAACATTGATTGTTACCGGTAATTTCGCAACCCTAATTAATACAGAGCACCCTTTCTGATTTTGAACAAAATCCTCGCCGCCTACATGGAAAATATGTTCGCTCTGTACGCAGTGCTTGGAAGAATTTCTGCCGTGCATAGTTCACTAGAAGAATTTATGCGGGCCTTGTTACTAATGCAACGCTTCTACCTCCGCAGTGTTACACACACAACAACCTCGGCTGGAAGATCCACGTCGTGGACGCCGGGTACCACTCCCAGCGGAACAGTAAAAACTTATCTGCCGGGGCGGCGCGTCCTCGGGCGGGTCTCTGCTCCGGCCTCCTAGTCCTGGCCCTAGCCTTGGGCCTGGCCTCGGCACTCACCGTGAGATGAGCAGCCGTTGCCGTTTGTTGATTGATACCCAATTTTTCTAAGCAAATTGATTGTGATGTTCGTTAAGGTTTCGTAGGAAGATTGTTTTGGCGGGCCGTCCCTCGCCGTGGACGTCGCTGGTGCTCACTTTTAAAAAAGGAATTACGTTACCTGCGATCGTACTGTTGGAATTTTTTGTATAAGTGGCTGGTACCACGCGTTGTATGCCGTTCAAAATTAATTAAATTTTGTTATGTGTAATTTTGAACCGATCGTCATGGTTTTGAAATTGCTCGTAACGGGCAGGAAAAGTATCCAACAGAGCTTAAAGTAGAATCCTGGTGCCAAAATGGTGAATTCTGACAATAATAACTTCTTGATATATTTTACGTTGGTGACAATAATTTTCACTAGTATTAAGGTTAGTATATTGGCATACGGCAATTAACTGTGAATATACGATAAATGATAATATTTGAGAGCCTATTTAGAAAAGCACTAAGAACCATGGTCTTGTTTGACAATAATTTTGGGGCTTTACACCATTATATGTTTCTAGAAATGTAATTTTTTACGTCCTATTGTGAATATTCCATTAAGACATTGTTGTTTTCAAAATTTATTGCGGTTGTTGATTTTTGACACGTTTGCGCGACATTGGTCAATTTTATTATCGCAGTCAATTTGTATTTAATTCTAACGTAAATTTCGTGGTGCTTTTGTCTATAATTTGTAAAAACTAACTCTGGTAGCTTAAAATATGAGGGGGACGGGGATCTCGGAAAACTGGTTCTTATTCGTTATCGCGTTAACTCAAAAACAGTCTACAATTTAATGTTCTGTTGCTCGTGGTTTAAAAAAGAGTTTGCAGCTTTGATTCATTTAACAGACCCAGTGGGAAATGGTGGTCGAAACGAAACCCTTTCAAAATGGAGCCAAAACTTGCGTAACTATGTGTACAAACTAAAATTTAAACACCTACATTGCAGAAATTTATGGAACCATCCTTTGCACGTCAATGTCTAGTTGGTAAGTTCCCTTCTTTATATGGAGTTTGCTTTACCAAATGCAGATGGTAGGTGGGATGGCTGATAGCAACTGACCAGGCGCTTAGAATTTGGTTTAGGGAACGGTCAAAGAATGATTGACAAATTATACACGCGAATGCACAAATTTGTGGCATCACGTGCTTGCATGTGGTACAGACATTCGGGAAAACACCATAGTTTGATCTAATTCCAAAAATCTACCAAAATATCTGCTAAACAGTATTATGTGAGAAACAATCAGTGTACACATTTCGTCCTAGTTGGGGCCTCCTCAAGTTACTGGAAGGTCGTTTCGTAAGATCATTTCTGACTGAAAGAAAACTACTTTCTTCGTATGTGAATATGTTTTAATGACGAAAAACGTATATATTTCTTATTCTTTATTATAGACATAAGGTAATTATTATTATAAAGTGATGATTAATAGTTATGACAATAACATTTCTCGAACCGTACTGTTTTATAACGTAACATTTTTGTAGTCGGTCCTAAACTAAATGTGACAATAGATGAAAAATTTACAAATCCTAGGCTGTAAAATATGTGCGCTGAAATTCTGAACATTTAGTATGCGGCTTGCAGCAGAAGCTCTTATTTCGACATTGCAGCTCGCTCTAGTAGTGAACGTACGTAACACGAAATAATGTTCTGTCCTCAAAATGGTCCGAACGATGCGAGTATAGTTTGATGTGGTCTAGATTAACGATTGTGGATGGTTAATGCTAAGACCAAGTTTGATAACAATCCCTGCTCTGTCAATTTCAACTGTTTTCTTTTTGAATTCCATTTAACTATCAAAACATTAGGCACTGATGTTAAATGTTTAGTTTATTTAGTTTCCATTAAATATTCTCCGTTTCCTGTCAGGGCGTGATTGCGGCCCCTCTACAAATAGAAGTGTGTGACATTCGAACATACTTAAATTGTTTGGCATAAAAGGCTACACACAGAAGAGTGTGACCAATGTGTCATGCATAGAAAAGTGTGTGACTTTGTGACTTATAGTAAAAAAGTATACCTTTCCGACACAAAGGAGTGTGACATAGTTGTCACACACTCTTTTGTGTGTGACGTGACTGGGGCACACCTTTGTATTTATGTGACATTGTGGAACGCACTTTGAAAGTGTTCGAATCTACATATTTCTGTTTGTAGAGCAGACATTAATCACATGGTGTGCCAGTTTCAGCTTCTGTACCTTTTAACTGCTCAGTTCCGCAAGTTTCATTCTAAGCTGCAACTTAAAGTTTGTAAATAGAAACTCTGATATGCTTTAAATTTGTACAGGGGTAGAGAAGGTGCGAAAGAAGTGACAATAATGTTTCTACTGGGTAATGTTCCAGATTTGTGCTTGTAGATGTATGGTTTTAAAAGATTTTGAGCTAAATTTACCTCACAGTCATGTGAGACTTGTATAGAATACCGTGTGGGGATGTGACGTCGCGAAACAGTGTGGTTGTTTCGATGTATCGTACAAATTTACCCTTGTGTTACCTGAGTACTGTATATATTCATAATATGTTCATCTTTTCATAAAACTCGTGCAGGTGTAGCAAATAATGCATATCGGCATGTGCGTATCATCGAATTGCTGCTGCCTTCAACAGCTCTAAATGTTATTTATATCACTTTGACAATATCGTACAAGTCTTCGTGGTTCGACAATAATTTTTCCGGACAACGTTTAGTGATAAGTGTGGCTAGAGGTTGTGCGTTCTGTCGCAAAAACGCCTATTTACCATATGATTCGGAAATTGTCATGAAAGAATCGTATTCCCAGATATGTACTCTGAATCGCGACAGAGCCATTACAGACTGGAAAGGAACAAGACTTTGTTTTGTGACTTGACTATCGGAATAAAACTTTTCTCTTTGTACCGGTGCGTCTGTTTCCTATTTGTCCGAAGTCCAAGCGGAGAAGTGTTGTTGTAATGCTCATTCATATTCATATTGATATATTGTGATGTTTAACAGTTGGTCATACTGTGTGTCTTCTGCCACCAAGTTTATATATTCTCCTGACACACTGAAATAAATCTCTTTTCTGCTGCACCTGACCCGAAGTAGTTCAGCTCATTTAACCTCAGGACTGTCATGTCCCTCCTTGACCTCATCGAGACATAGCTGCTCATGAAGACTTGATTTCAACAAGAAGGGACGTGGAGGGGAGGTCGGCCTATCTGCCGGGCGCACGACAAACGTGACAAAGGTTTTCAATAAATTTGGAAAACCTCGTCGTCAGGTCGGGAAGACACTTGACAGTAACTGCACACCCTAAACTTTGTACTAGAAAACTTGCCTAGTAATTACTTAAGTTTTGTGCCATTGTATATATGTGTGTATCAAGAAATTCTTCCGCATTACTGAGCTTTTTCCTAGTATTAATTGGTAACTTTTTCCTATTATAACGAAACGTTCACCGGCAAAACAAGTGTTTAATTTTGCACGCACATTGTGGTGTTTAAACTTTCAGCACTTTCGAAAAGTATAGCAGCTGCACACCGTATGGTTCTTTATGATAACATAGAACTGTGTGTCTCCCAGTGTGCAGAATTGAAACGTTTACAAAACGTCTATGTAATTTGCAAAATAACAACTTGCCCACGTTGGTGTACAAATTATGCACACTTGTTTTACCAGTGTTTCCTACAAGTACCGTAATTATTATTGTTAGAAAACGTTTAGAAATATTACTAAGATGTTTGGTAATACTTAAGAATTTCTCGATAACATACGACAGCACAAAGTTTAAGATATCTTAACCGGGGCTCCCGGAGACCTTGCCAACCAAGTTCTATAATTCTGCGTCTTGGGATACAGAATATTGTATCCAACGTTACTTTATCTTGTATCTATTACAGAAATTAGTAACATTCACGGAATTTTGTAACATTTTGATCAAATTACAGAATTTTGTACCCATGTTACACGGTTCTATATCACAAGTGCCTGATACAGAAAGCTGTATCAAATTTGATACATAATTCCGTATTATTTTTTAGAGTGAAGTTACAAGGCAAATTTGATAGTAAAATGTTTGCATTGTATGACGGCGAAAGGGTCCCCTGCACGGAGCATCTTCAAAGGGGAACCTTTCCTCTCAGGGTACTCAATGTGATGACTAGATCCTGTTCTTGAATCTGATTAAATTTTCTTTTCTAACGTTCTCAGGTAAACCCAAGCATTGGCTTGCGTTTCCTTACTAACTGCACATCAACACTGTGAAAAAAAATTGGTAGGTTTACAGGAAAATTTTCCTTGACGCAAGTTGTAAAATTACAATTTGTAATCGTTAAAGTACATGCAGTATGTATCGACTTCAAATCCCTTGGCGAGTAAAAAATGTGCAGTCGTAAATTTACAACTTAAATTATGTTTCAAGTTTACAATTTTTTTTAAACGGACCCGTTTCTGCCAGACAGTTGGGGCGCGCG